AAAGAAAAAAGATACCGCCTCCCTTGCAAGCCAAGCCGGGAAATGGCCAGGTTCCCTCTAAAAACCACCAAATAAAATGGTGGCCTTTTCTCTTTAAGCCAAGCACAACCCACAAATCAACAACCAACAACAAACACCTCAACCGAACAAAGCAAACACGCCAACAGCAAGGTGAAAACCAGCGTTCCAAGCCCCAAAAATGGCTCGGTTCCAAGACCAGAGGGAAGGAGCGCCTGGGATCCCGCTGCAGGCATCCGCTGAGCACCTCCAGCATCGCCTCACTCGCTCGTCTTGAGGGGTTGGGACCCAAGAAACGGTCTGCAATGCCAAAACATGTGTGGCTTTCCATTGTTATTTTCTTGCACACCAGGTAACCAGGTCCTCGACGGAGTGGGAGGTATAACATTTGTTCCCTGTTTTTGCGGCTAGGCGGCAGTACGAATTTTCTGTCCCGCCTGCTGATCACACTGACGCGGATGAATATCGCTTGACCAAATCCGTCATTCGAAAAGCGGCAACCCCCCCCCCCCCCCCCTTTACCATTGATTCTGAGCCTTTCCCGACAGCATTGCAACTTTCACCACCTGCGAACGCAGGCAACCCCCATCGAACGCTTGCGGACGCAGCGACGCGACATGCTGACCCCCAGGCCCCTTCTATAAGGGGAACCCTTCTGCCAAAAACAAATTGACTGGAAAAGGCCTGCCCTGGCTTCTGATGTGATGTGCCTAAGTTAAACCTGACCCTTCCAAAAGGATACTCCATCGCGTGAAAGTGAATGACATTACGTTATTAGTTGACATTGGGCCTTATTCAAGCAATTTATGTTAGAATCTTCAGGTAAGAGACAACAAAGGTATCTCCATCCAAGGGAAAATAAGGCCCCCTAACACACAATTGCAGGCTTCAACCCACCCACCCCCCGCCGCCCTTCTCCTGGATTCGAACCTTACCTGAACGTCACCCCGAGACTCCATTCAACTCGCTGCCCTTGACGAGAAGCTTGCCCAGCTTCGGACACGAGACGGTCTCGCTGAAACCCCCCAGGTGTTGTGGTTCATCCCAGCACTAAACCAAAGGTCTCAGATCCCAGATCCCCAACCACTAAACCAACAAAGAAGCAGACACGCCAAGGAACCGGATTGACCCAAAAGATGAAGAGCCCAAAAAAACGGATGCCCGGGAACCCCCATGGACAACATCTTCCCGCGCGAACGGCGAAAGTCGAGGCCAGGCCTGGGCGGCGAAGCCCTCGAAGCGGTGCGCCGGGAACCTCGGCTGCCGTTCGGACATCGGCGAATGGGACTTCCCGGAGCTGCGGCGCCGGAACCCGAAGAACGCGCCACAGGTGGAAGGAAGCCGCAGTTGAGAAAAGGGATACGCCGGTTGGTTTTTTTGGGGGGGAGTTGTTTGGCGACCGGGTTCCGAGAGGTCCCGGCCTTTTCTTGGGGCGAAATTTCGCGGAGTGGCATGCTGAGACTCCCAACTCGGTATACCTCTGACTTCGGCCACAAAACCCATACTGTAGGAAGCTCGGCGTGATGGATTCGACTCCTTGCTGGACTTGCAAAATAACGGCTATGAGCGCAGAAAGACCACTGGATTGTCTCCTCGACTTTGACGAACCGGTGTTTCACTCCATGCTTCAATATAAGGGAAATACAGGGAGCCCTGGCCAATTTTCGAGGTGCCAAGCTGGACCACACCAAGGTTGACCCCGCTCTCGGAGGAAACTCCCGCTCTCGGGAAATTAAGGGACCCCCCTAAACCCTGTGCTAAGCTTCGCACTTGATGAAAGGGAAGGACCCCCACGATGCTTTGCCTTATTTGCTTGCTCAAGTTTGTGAGGGTCGGAGCAGCCCTGTTCAGGTTCCAACCTCATACTGCCAAGGACTTGCGACTTGCGAATCCTGACCTTCCAGACCCCCGACCGAGCAGGCTAGCGCCCTTTTTCACTGGAGCTACGAGTTGCCTGCCGCAAGCTGAGGGGTACTTGCATGCTCAAATGTCAAAGGACCTAACCCAGCTATCCCATCCATAACTCATAATGGCTCTAGTCCCTTTTGGGTTCATGTTGAGGGAACCTGAAAGGAAACCAATCAGCCTACTTATGTGGTACTTGGGCTCAACACCCTCTAGAGCAAGTTCCCTTATACCCCCTTGCCAATCATGGGGATGTACGGGAGTGTTGGAAGGCCCTCTTCACGGGGGTCCCTGTCCGCCCCCCCACTCTGCAAATTCTGCGATTCCAAAACCTGAAAACGTGGCAGCCAAATTCTGCATCTCCCAGTAACGGGCCAAGCCTGTTGATGATTACCTGCTTACTTGGAACACCCAACTGCTGGCAATGGCGGCAGTGGTTGGACCGTGGTTGGACCGCATCCTCAAGTTCTTGCTTCGGTCGGCAATGTTTCTTTCAGGAAGGTTCACACAATTGTACAAACATATGCCCACGAGTTCGGATTCAACTCAAGGAATCCAACTGGAATGCGGAGGTCCAACACGCGGGTGAGACATAACCCCGCCGCATACTTTGATGCGCTCGCGAAAGAGTTGAACGCGCGTAAAAACGCAAGCCTGGAGGAGCGAGGGACATATTTTGGGGCCTGGTTCTTTGGGAGATTTGGAAAGGTCCACGTCAGCTATGGACCAGACATCCCGCTTCTGGGAGGGAGCCTTGGGAACCTTTCTGTGACGCCTCCAGGCCTTGCACGAGGCCGACCGCAGTTTCACGTCTGACCTGGATGAGATCGCAACTACACGCACTTCCCGGGAATCGGCGTCTTACGCAACCCGGGCGGAGTCGGAAAAAGTTCGGACTTTTGGTTGACTATGCTCTTCCCAGGGTTCTCAAAAATAGAGCAATCGAATCTTGGTGGATCTTGGTGGGATTCCTTTAAGGTCCTTTGGTTTCCCTTGAACACCACAAACAATACCCGCAAAACAAAAACAGACACGCCCCCAAAAATATGGCCGGCTCCTTCCAAACAACCCTGCCGCGCGCGAAACTTGACGCCTGAAGGAATTTTCAGAAGGTTCAAAGTCCCAACATCTCAGACTGGTCCCCTCCCGCACGCACCCAGTTGGCATCAGTTGGCCATATGGGTATGTGTTTTTTTGACGTGGCCGTGCCGGGAGGTTGGTATAAGGGGTATGAATCGCAGGTATGGTTCGGGGTATGGCTCGGGGGTATGATTCGGGGCATGGCTCGCGCGCCTCTGAACTTTTGCTTTGTGGCTTTGGACACTGCAAAGCTCCCGTGCGCTGGCAACTGGATAGCCGTGAGAATTTGGACCGCTTAGTTGCTACAAGCCAGCCTGGGGCGCTTGTGAGTGGCCTGAACTAGACAGCTGCCACTCTGCGTGAGTGGGTTAGCGAAAGCTGCTGCGCTAGGTGGAAGGCGCAGAGCCACTGCCTGAGGCGAACGTCATTGCCACCTCCACTTGGAGTTCCAGCGACCCGCGTGCTCACAGACCCAAGCAAGCCTTGCTTAAGGGGAAGCGCCCCCAGTCAGGCCCGCCACCAGTCACGAACCAGCGTAAGGGCAAGACAGCGTGACATCCTCAAACGGCAGCTGCGCAGACGCTACCGTGTCGCGCTTGATACATCGCAGTAAGCCTTCCGAACCCACCTTCTGGCGAACTTCTGCGAAAAGAGCCGCGAGCTGGTTCCTTCAGTGCTTCTCTTTGAGTTTTGTGTGTTCTGAGGATTTGGGCGGCATAGCTTCGCTAGTACTGCCCAGAGCGCAAGAGTCTCTTGGCTGCAAATGGCAGCAGAAGGGTATGAATCGGGGTATGAATCGGGTATGAATCGGGGGTATGAATCGGTGGACATTTTTTTCGACCGGAAAGACACCAAGAGTACCCCAGGGGCACAAAGACAGCTTGTGTTTCACTGCGACAGTGGCCCAGGACAGACAGCTGCTTCCACCGCGTCGGACAGACTGCAGGAAGCAAGCTCCAAGTTTCAAGCTCAGCAGCGGCACCCCCCGCCACAGCGCCCTGCAAGTCCCAGAGTCTTACGTCAAGCTGCACCCCCCCGCCACAGCACCACGGATGCTACAAACAACTCTAGTACCATACCAGGACATCCGCAGGATTGCTCTGTAACTCCACCCATTGGCACTTTCCATTGAAAATAGCAAGCCGAGACAGAGGTGGGTAACCGAGTGTCAAGGAACACCATTTGAGCCAAAATGGCACCCCACGAGAAACCAGTGAGTGTGTGTGGACATGTCAACTGTACTTGGCCCCATGACATCAGAGCCCAACCATGCAAGCATCGCAGACTCAAGAATAGATCCAGGAACCACAAGTGAACCAGGTATTACCTCGGAGTCCCTACCCCCTGGCATCGGTCCACATGTTCTTTTTTGTGTTTTTTAAGGGGTATGACTCGGGGTATGGCTCGGGGGTATGGTTCGGGGTATGATTCGGGGGTATGGCTCGCCCAAGCCCCACCTCCCACGAAGACTAAAGAATTGACACGGTAAAAAAACACAGACCCATATGGTAAAAAATATCATCAGACTCCTCGGCCGGAATATCATCGTCCCTAAAAAAAAAGCCTCTGAAACCGGCCGCGCACTGGAACCTTTCGTCCGGTCACTACAAGTTGCCCAGAAAAATGTTGAGCGCCAAATGGGTCTCTCTGCCACATGAGGGAGACAAGAAACCAAATCCAAAACAAACGCCCCAAATCTTGGATCAAGCCAGGATTGCTCACTGGAGCCTCGGTCGGCCGGAAGTGACTTTGCACACCATCTTTTGGTTGCCAAGGGCGCCGAACGCACTCCGAACTGGGCTTCGGCTCGCAACCCCAAGGCCGAGGAAGAGGCCGCGGCCGAGTCACGGGAAAGTATCTAAACTCGGCCGCAAGAACTGAAACGCACCTAAGACCTACAGCTGGGTGAAAGTAGATGCCACTCCGGAAAAAAAAAGGTGTCAGCTTTAATCTAAAAATTGAACCCTCAGAAGAAAAAAGAGGCTTCATCTGTCTTTACCCAAGGGATATGAGAGCCACCAAACGTTCACCCCGGTGATATCGATCTCTCAGCTGCTCAGCTGCTTCATCTCGCCCACCACAGATCTCATTTGCTGCAGCAGGTCGTGGATGCTCTTGGAGGTCGGCTCCTCCTCGTCTATGACCTGCGGATCTCCCCCTGTAGCTTGGCACGAACCTATGTTGTGAGGAGAATTCCAATGCTGATTTTGTACATATATTTTATATATATACACATATGTATACATATGTATGTGCGTGCTGAAAGCTGCATGGTTGATATAATGCAGGTTGACACAAAAACCCATGGAACCAAGATGCAAGCCACTGAAGACTCAAGTGCTCAAAGCCTTTGTTGGCCATAGGTGAGTCTACCTGGTTTGATACGAATACAACATTCATTTGGTGGGAATCCCGTAGCCCCATTTTCTCAGCAATGTGGGCCCCACGTCATCGCCTTGGCTACTGTACCTGACTGCAACTACTGAACCTTGCACATTTGGGATTGCTGAAAGGCAGTAGGCTCTGGGATCCTGATCACATCAGCCGCGAGACCATAGGGTATGATGATGTCCTTTTGCTGGGCTGCTTGCCGGGTTGCTGAGCAAGTTCCGAAGTTTGGCTCATTTGAGCGAATTGCTCTGAAGCTTTTGGGAAGCCACCCAAACCGCCGGTTGGCTATTTTTAGCTCAGGTGTGGATCATAATAGGAGTGACCCGAACAGGGTTCTTGTTCCAAGCGTAGGGAACGCAACCTTGTGGATCACATTTTCAAAAGGAAAGTAGTTTCTCTGGAGGGTTCCTGTTCCCAACTCTAGAGAACTGTGCATCCCCACCAATCCAGTTTGAAGGAATTGACATATCACGACTCCGTCGACTTGGCAGCGACCTGATAATCCCCCCTTTCCCCGGCAGGTGGTGGCTTGGACTTGGGTTGTCTCAAAATATGGGTGCTTGAGAATAGTTGAAACAAACCTGTCCTATTATTAGGCGGGGGTTCCCTCCGACAGTGATTAACCTCGGCTAAAAGGAGACTCCCCTCCATTAATCAACTAGGGATTGATTAATCCGGGGTCCCTGTAAGGGGAAGATGGGAATCCTTTTGGCTTCCCTTCCCAACCCCAAAACGGGTACTTTCAACAAACACGTCTGCATCCCAAACTGGATGATTTGAGACAAGACTCTACTTCACGGGATGTCCAAAAAAAACTGGGCATCCTGTGGTGCGAATCCCTCCACTTCAACCTAGGATTGATACAGCTTCTTTTGATATGGGGGTGTCCCTGGGTTTAGTAGGGCTTCATCGCCTTTTGGAGGGCCCCCGCCCCCCTATTCATTCATACGCGGTGTATTAATCCGGGGTCCACATTCATAGGGCGGGAGTTGGCACTTACCTTTTTCCCCAGCCCCCGCCCCCCATCGCCGCTCCCAACCAACCAACCAACCAACCAACCAACTAACCAACTAACCAACCAACCAACCAACCAATCAAGCAACAAACTGGCCCCAGACCCTGTGTTGCCTGACTGAGCAGACGCTAAGCAAAAACAAGCACAAAAACAAACACACCCACACACACACACAAACAATCAATCCATGTTCTCCTCGCTGTGCGTTCTTGCTAAACTCTAAGGATTGCAGGAAAGTCTACAGGAAATTAGCCCAAACTAATAACTCCTTGAGAAGAGAGAGATGTGTGGTATATACTAAATTATTCAGCCCCCTATATTAGCAGATTTTTGCTGGACAAATAAGAGGAAACGACGAAAGCCCCTTCTGCGGCTGCCTTTGTCCTGCAAAACCATAAGTAGTTGCCGCGGTCGTCTTCTGTGCTCTCGCCTGGTGAAGCGGAACAAGCGGAAAGGGTGGTTCCACACCCATGGCTCGTCCGAGGCACGGCCGTGGAGAATGAGCTTGTGATGGCTTGTGATACCAAAATGGGGGTTCCCATCCTTACCCCCCTCAACAAAAGAAGGGTTCCAAACCTTGCCAGGAGGTCTGAGAACCTTTCTGGTGACGATAGTCCGAATGTGTTTCCAACAAATTGATTGCTATAGCGTGATTCCCTGGAGTTAGAAAAACTGACCTGGAACCCGACTTGGCACAATCCCGCACCCGCGGACACAGACCAGAAATAACTGCACGCTGCCTAAAGAGAGAGAAAGAGAGAGGAGAAAGAAGGAGAAAGAACGAGAGAGGACCGAAAGAGAGGGAAGGAAAGAGAGAAAGAAAGAGAGAGAAAGAGACTAGAGAGAAGAGAGAGAAGAGAGAGAAGAGAGAGAAAAAGAGAAGAGATAAAGGAGAGAAAAGAGAGAGAAGAGAAAGAAGAGAGATAAGACAGAGAAGAGAAAGAAGAGAGAGAGAGAAAGAAGAGAGAGCAGAGACAAGAGAGGGAGACAGAGACAGAGAGAGAGAGGGAGGATAGTGAAGAGAGAGAAGAGAGAGAAGAGAAAGAAGAGAGAGAAGAGAGATAAGAGAGAGAAGAGAGAGAGAGAGAGAGAACGCAGAGAAGATAAAGAAGAGAGAGCAGAGACAAGAGAGAGAGGAAAGGAGAGAGAGAGAGAAAGAGAGAGGGAGGAGAGTGAAGAGAGTGAAGAGAGAGAAGAGAGAGAAGAGAAAGAAAAGAGAGAAGAGAGAGAAGAGAGAGAAGAGAGAGAAAGGGAGACAGAGTGAGAAAGAGAGAAGAGAGCGAGAGAAAGAAGAGCGGGAGACAGAGTGAGAAAGAGAGAAGAGAGCGAGAGAAAGAAGAGCGAGAGACAGAGAGAGAGAGAGAGAGAGAGAAAAAAAAAGAAAGAAAGAAAGAAAGAAAGAAAAAAAGAAAAGAAAGAAATAACGAAAGAAAGGAAGGAAAGAAAGAAAGAAAGAAAGAAACAACAAACGAAATAAATAAACAAATAAAGAAGAAATAAAAAGAAACGAAGCAAGAAACGAAAAGAAACAAAGAACCGAACAAAGAAATAATTCAAGGGAAAAAAAAGAAAGAAAGAAATAAAGAACAAAATAAATTAAGAAATGCAGA